ATTGTGCAAGCATGCCACAATTTTCGTTCTGTGAGCAACATGATATTGCATTTCTGCTTTCATCATTCTACCTTCTTTACTTCCATCTTTGCAAATGCCATGGGGACCTGTGTGAATTAGTTCTGATTCACCTTGAATATTTGAGATTTAGAATAAATATGATTTGTTTTAAGGCTGGGCTTAGAGATTTGAGGACAAATCCATTTGATCTGAGCTGTTTCTTTAAATTATAATGGGAAAAAGTCTCAACACTTTCTTGGAAAATATTCCTCCTGCATCTCTTTTAAGGTTCAGATCACATGCCTGAGACTCAATAGGCAGCAGCACCTGCCTAAATTTATCTTAGATCGAAGCAAGGTAGGATTAGGCCTGATTAATACTTCGATGTGGACTAGCCTGGAATTTGCAAAAACTTTTTATTTCCAGAAAAAGAGCATCACAAACCCTTCCCTGCTGATACTAAGCAAATGGATCAGAAGGGCTCCAAGAGTGATTCACCCAGTGTTGCCTAATTATCATCAAAAGTGCACCTTTATCTTAAAAAGTATGAGGAAGCTCCCATTTTTTTTTTAGGAAGGAAGAAAGTTGAGATCGTTGAATTAAAACTTGAAGACAATACTGAAAGTAAAAAAAAATAGAAAATCTATACTTCTGTATTTCTCAGTTGCTTTCTTGGAGTGCAGGGCTTGGCATTGCATTGCATTTGTGTCGGACGTACCAAGGCATTTTCAGGTTGAAAGGATTAGCTGGTGACATCACCATTGCCCAGGGGACACTTGGTTGTCCCCTTTCATGACCCTGTTATTGTGCCCAACAAAGTGGTACCTATTTATCTACTTGCGTTTGCATTCTTTCAAACTGATAGATGGGCAGGAATTGGAAAAAATAACAGAAGCTTACCCCATCACACAGTCTCATACACAGGTTCTAACCACGCGAAACATCATATTTCCTGACTTGGCACAATACTAAGTAATTATTGAGTTGTCCTTAACAGGCAGGGAAATGTTGCTGCCTCTGATCACTGGTTTTTAAGGATATCTAAAACTATCGTAATTAACTAACTTGGCATAACTGGTTAGAAAGTTTGACCCCTAAGCATTGCCTCTTGGCTGGCTTTGGTGAGGTGAGGTGAGGTGAGTGCAGGGCTGGGTTGGGTTGGGTTGGCAAGCACATTAACAAAGCTTGACCTCTTGATGATATGGGGAAATATGATCACACAGAGATCATTTGGCACAAATAAGGTAGCTATCATAGCCTTGGCACATCTGCATTCTTTAAGTTATGAGATTTGGAGCACTTGTGTTAACCTGGCAAGTTCATGCTATAGTATATGTATTAATCTTTTGATTACTGCATACCACCATTACTTATCTCTTAGGAAAATGAAGGTGTGGTTGCTTGGTATAGAACATTTTTTTTAAAGTACAAGTTAGATGCATCTATATATTTGCTCTCATTGCTCTCAATCACGTGAAGTGTTACTACCACTTTATAATGCCTTGATAAGGCCACACTTGGAATACTGTACTCAGTTTTGGTCGCCACGATGTAGAAAAGATGTGGAGACTCTAGAAAGAGTGCAGAGAAGAGCAACAAAGATAATTAGGGGACTGGAGACTAAAACATNACACACACACACACACACACACACACACACACAATCTTATATATCTATCTACCTTGTTCCTTTTGTTCAATTCAGTGCGGACAAAATTGCTCAAGTCAGATAACAGTATGGCAGGATAAAATCCTTTTAAAGTGTGTACATTATTTTTTTCTGATATTACTTCAAGCTTCTCCATTCATCTGTATTCATTTAATGAGCAACATCAAAACTTCATTCTAAATATTTAAAATGGAGATTTATTTGATTTACAAGATAATCAGAAATGCAAGACACACTTTTAATTTTGTGAATAGCGATTTCATTTGAGTACCCAACTTCAGAATTAGCAGAAAAGACTACATTAAGCCCTGTAGAAAGTAACCATGTAGGAATTTAAAAAGTATCAGAAAACTGCTGATTATTGCAAAAAAAAAAAAGGCGGGGGGAATGTGCTAATAGTTTTGTGAGACCCAATAACTTCTTATGTGTTTACCTGATTCACCAGTGAATCTTCTAGGCGGCAATTATTATATTTTTATTCTCTTGTTAAATTGCCAGTGGTGATTTGTCCTCTGTAACTAGTTTGCCAGGATTATGATAATAGATTTTCTCAAAGTTGTACCCAATTTTCCCATCAAGCGTGGAGATTTTATGAAACGCTGTCTGAAAATTAGGTCCTCATTAACTCTTAGATTAATTATCTCAGGACATCTTTTTGGCTATAGTTCTAAACTTACTTTTGGGAATAAATGCCATTTAATTCAATTAGGTTTATTTCTGCATAGACACAGATAGGATAACATTACATTTTAACATGCATTGTGCACATACTTATGTTTTTAATGTTGTTAAAAATTATGATGTTGATGAAAGTTGTATGTGAGATTAATACCCTTGATTCATCAAAAGCAGTGTGAAGAACACCTCCTGAAAAGATGCTCTCATTTCTTTTCAGATTCCTTGAAGTCTTTTTAATATATTGCCATTCAGCCAATCAGTGGCTGACAATAGAGAAATACATGACAGGAGAATTCCGCAAGTACAATAACAATAATGGGGATGAAATCACACCTAGCAATTTGCTGGAAGAAGTTATGCTGGCTTTTTCTCACTGGAGTTATGAATATACCCGAGGAGAACTTCTTGTATTAGATTTGCAAGGTGAGTAAAAAAGTCTGTCCCATGAAAATTAATAAAATCAAAGCTAGATAAAGTGCATATGACACTTGAATGGCTAATACATCTATTTGGGTGTCAGTATTTGTGGACCATAGTATAGTTTATCAGATATACAAAAAGTTCTACGAATACAGTCCATAATATACATATGTGTAAGTGTGTGCATGCACACATACACGCCACACACAGAGATACACTCAAACACACAGGCACACAAACACCCATCTATTGTTAGTGGTTGGATGATTAACAGTGACTTCTAAGCCTGTGTGTGTGTGCAACTACAAAAGATTGTGCAAGCATGCCACAATTTTCGTTCTGTGAGCAACATGATAGCAATAGCAATAGCAGTAGACTTATATAC